ACAGGAAGTCTCCATAAACATCCATTGAGGGGTGAATAGAAAAAGAAAATGTGTGATATGCACACAATGGAATTTTATCAACCTTTAAAATGAAGGAAATCCTGCCATTTGTGACAACATGGATGAACCTGGAAGGCTTTATGCTAAGTGAAATAAGCCAGAAACAGAAAGACAAACACTGTATTTTATATGTGTGTGTGTGTGTGTGTGTATGTATGTGTGTATATATATATGTGTATATATATACACATATATATAAATAAAGTATATATACACACACATATATATAAATAAAATATATATGTGTGTGTATATATACTTTATTTATATATATGTGTATATATATACACATATATATAAATAAAGTATATATACACACACATATATATAAATAAAATATATATGTGTGTATATATACCTTTCACACATTTCAAGATTGTTTACTTTTGACTCATTGAGAATAAGTACACACACACACACACACACATCATATGTGGGATCTAAAATAGCCAAATTTATAGAAGCAGAGTTTGGAAGGTTGGATTTTGTTTGGCCAGAGCCAGAGGGAGGTGGGAAATGGAAGATGATGGTTAAATGGTATGAAGTTTCAGTTATGAAAGATAAATACGTTCTGTAGATCTACTATATAGCATAGTGGCTATAGCTAAAATACTGTATTCGACACTTAAAATTTGCTAAGAAAGTATATCTTATGTTGTTACCACAAAAATGAATGAATAAATGAATGAAAGAATAAATAAAAGGCAGAAAGAAACTTTGGGAGGTGATAGATATATTTATGGTTTTGGCAGTGATGATGATTTCATAGGTGTATACTTATCGCCAAATTCATTCAGCTATACATATCAAATATGTACAATTTTTTATATGTAACTTATACTTGAATAAAATTGTTTAAATAAAACCAAAAATAAAAAAAAAATATATGAAGAGTTTTTCACAAAGCTAAATTTACTTGGATATTTTGCCCTTCCTCCTTTTTTTTTTTTTTTCTATTTTAACAGGGTGGTTAATATTTTTTTATTTGTAAAATAAAAAATATAGTAGAATATAGTATCTTGTATACTTATTTTTATGTCTTTACCTGAAAAATAAAATGTCAGCACCTCTCCAAGAAAACAAAAAGAAAAACTAAAAATTAATTAACATTATACAGAGAATTTTAATTGAATTAATATAAAATATGTTCATGATAAAACTTAAAAAGTATTTAACAAATGACAAAACTGAAATTGTGACTCTCAAGGGAAAAGATGATCAAGAGATTCATCCTTAAGATCATTCAAATGTTGAAAATATCATACAAAAACTTTAAATTAACTATTATAATTAGTCTCAATTAGCGAAAAGTAAACAATCTTGAAATGTGTGAAAGACAGATGTTCTCAGCAGAGAATTAGAAACTACAAAAAAAGATAAATGCTATAAGTTTTTCATTAAAAAAATCAGATCATCTGAAATTTATTGGACGGGTTTAGTAGCAGAATTAAGACAACAGAGGAAACAGGGAACTTGAAGACAGATTAATAAAAGTTATACGATTTGGAGAAGAGATAAAAACATCAAAATAATGAACAAAGCCTCAGCAATGTAGAGGAAATATTAAAATCTCTAATATTTATGTCATTGGAATCCAAGAAGGAGAGAAGAAAATTATTGGGGGAGAAAAATATATTTAATAAAAAGCAATGGAAAACATTTTCAAATTTGGTAAAAGACAAAAAACTTATTAAAAAAAAATGCCTCAGTGATCCTCAAACAGTTAAAAGAAAAGCATATCCAGAAATATCATAAGCACATTGGTGAAAACCAAAGACAAAAACTTTCTTAAATAATCAGAAATATATGTATATTATATGTAGGAAACTAACAATTTGAAAGACTTCAACTTCTCATAAGGAATCAGAAAGGCCAGAAGGCAGTGAAACAATAGATTTTAAAATACTGATATTAGGACAAAAAAATTCTATAAACAAATATATTTCAGGAATGCAGGTTAAATAAAGACATTATTACATGAGGAAAATCTAAGAGACTATCAGCAGCTAACTTTCTCAAAATGAAATCCTAAAAGAAGCTGTGTTGAATAGAGATTATGTAAGTGGGAAAACTATAATTATATTGTTAAATATGAAAAACTAATTTCATCCCATTATTTAAAATATAAATCTCTCAAAGGCAAATATTATAGCAGTGTCTGGTGAGATTTTCATGCATGCAGATGTTTACCTACAACAATTGTAACATAAAATAGAGGGCAAATGACCCTACAATTATGAGAATTTTGCATTTTACTTGATGTGATAAAATGTTAAACTTAACTATATTGAGAAAGGTTACTTGTATGTATTGTAATCTCTAGATCAGCACTTTTCTATCATGGGCAATTTTCTCTCTAAGAAGACATCTGGCAATTTCCAAATACTTTTGGTTGTTACTGGCATGTAGCAGAGATAGACCAAAGATGCTGCTAAACATCTTGCAGTGCACATGACAACCCTCATAGCAGAAGATTATCTGATGAAAAATGGTGTTAGTGCATAGGTTGAGAAACCATGCTCTTAGAGCAATACCTAAAAATAAAACAAAATAAAGATATATAACCAAAAGCAAATAAATAAATTAAAATTCAATGCTAAAACTATTTAAATCCAAAACTAAGCACTGCATATGTTAATTAGCTAGATTTAGTCATTTCACAATGTATATGTATTAGTCCATTTTTGTTGCTGACAACAAAATACATGGAACTAGGTAATTCATAAGAAACAAAATTTATTACTTACAGTTTCTGAGGCTGGGAAGTCCAAAGTCCATCTGGTGGTGGCGACAGTGACCCAGGGGTCTCACATTGCAAGATGGTGGAAGCAGAGAAAGAGAGAGAGAGAGAGAGAGAGAGAGAGAGAGAGAGAGAGAGACACTAACCTCCTCATTCACTCTTCTTTTAAAGCCGTCCAAACCATGCCCATGACCACCATTTCTAATCCATTCAATATGGCATGGTCCTGTAATGTAATCACCTCTTCAAAGCCCCACCTTTCAATTACCATAACAGGATTCCTCATCCTCAACAGTTAGAGGTAAGGATTAAGCCTCAGTGAGGTTGGGGGGGGGGTACATCCACTCTACAGAAGTACATATACTTCAAAACATCATCTTGTACATGATAAATACGATTTTACCTCCACTCTCTTAGCATTTTTCAATAATGCAATATTTCATCATTAACTTTAGTCACCATGCTGTACAATAGATCTCTTGAAATCATTTCTTTTATCTGACTGTAATTTTGTATCCTTTGACCAACATCTCCCCAACACTACTCCCTCCCTATCCCCCCACCAACTGCCCCAGCCTCTGGTAACCACTATTCTACTCCTATTTCTATGAGATGAACTTTTTTAGATTTCACATACGAATGAAATCATGTAGTATGTGTCTTTATGTGCCTGTCTGTCAATATACAAATAAATAAATATTACCAATCAAAAGAAGCTGGCAGTAGGGGTAAATGAAGCAAAAGAAAAACAACAACAAACAATGAGACTAGTTGGAAAACAAACCTTAAATTTGACCCTATCACTAATTACATTAAATGGAAATAGTCTGGGCACAAATTTAAGATAGAGATAATAAAATTGAATAAAATAGCAAAAATCCAACTATATGATGTCTACAAAACTCCTTGAATATAAATTACTTGTATGTATTGTAATCTCTAGATCAGCACTTTTCTATGATGGGTAGGTTAAGTTAAAAGATGGAAACTATATAGCATACAAACAGTATTTAAAAGAAAGCCAAAATGGCTATATTAGTACAGGGCAAAGTAGAATACAGAATAAGTAATATTTCCATAGATAAATTTTGATGTTATATGAAAATGAAAGAGTAAATTATTTAAGAAGACATATTATATTAAATGCATATGCACTTAACAGCAAAGGTTCAAATTCATGAAATAAAACTGATAGAATTGAAAGGATTGCCAAATCCAGTTATATTTGGAGGAGTCAAGATTCCTCATTCAGTACCCCAAAAAACAAGTAGAGAGAAAATCAGCAATCAAAAATTGCAGAATGCAGCTAAACAATTGATTAGAGTGAATTTACAGCATTAATACTAGAAAAAGCTGTACAATAATAAGTATACAGTACTTACTTTTATTTCCTACCTTTCTTTATTGATTGCGAAAGACACTAAGGGAAGTATATTTGCTTGTTTTGTTTACAAACATATATGTTATGTCCAGATAAATGCCTGGTATATAATAGATGCTCACTAAATATTTATTGCATGGATATATAAATTAAAACTTTAATGTTATTATTTTACTTTATTTACTTACATATTTGAAGTATAACAATTTCCAACACTTTGATATTTTTTACAAGTTTGAAAGATACCCAGTGTTTACACCAGCAGTGTGAGTAACTCACTTTAGAGGCCTTTTTCATGCTCAAAGGAGTCCCTAAGCTGTACCCTTTTCATTAATTGCAAGGTGAAAGCCATTTGGCTTGCCACTTCTTCTCTTCTTTCCACTTCTCACTAGCTTTCCCGTATGGCTATGGTGAGAGTAAAAATTAACAGAACTCCGATTTTCTGGCTGTCATCTGGATTATCTACTTTAAAATTCTTCTGCCTTAACTTCCCCCAAAAGAGCCATACTCAGAAAGATATTCTAATTGGTTAATCATATAAGATAAACCAATAAACATGTTTCCTAAAGATAACAACCAAACACATGAACAGAGATGGAATGATATTGAAATAATCTTGCCCTTATTACGTTCTTAAATATGCTAAAAACAGTGCTAAACACTTCGTAATCATTAACTATAGCGTAAGTATTGCTATATATGTTGTTTGGATGCTAAGATAGGTTAGAAAAACTGTATATAATTTCTACCTACTGCCGTAGTAAGTGAAAGTATTGCAATTCCAATTCCTGATCTTGCTGATTCTAGAATCCAAAAAAATTATAACAAAGGATAATAGGAGGGTTGCAATAAGTAGAAAAGGGAGACCCAGAATTTTAAATTGATTTTTGTCATGAAATGCTGCAGGACACATTCTCGGATTTGTTTGGTCCTTACTCCATAGATAATGGGGTTCAGCATAGGAGGTACCAACAGATACGTGTTGGCCAGCAGGATGTGGGTGTGGAGTGGTATATGCTTACTAAAACGGTGGGTGAGGAAAGAAAAAAGAGCAGGGATGTAGAAGATGAGGATGACACAAACATGGGACCCACAAGTGCTGAGCGTCTTCAACCTGGCATCTTTAGAAGGGAGACTGAATACAGTATGAAGTATCTGTATGTAGGACATAGAGATGCATGTCACATCTGTCCCAACAATTATTATAATGACTGCCAAACTATAAAGACTATTGATAGAAATGTCTGCACAAGCCAATTTCACCACGGCCATATGCTCACAGTATGTGTGTGGGACCACATTGCTCTGGCAATATGGCCATCTTCTTACAAGAAAGGGATGTGGTGCCATTAACACTAACCCACGTAGAAGTGCCACTATGCCAACCTTAGCCACTGCAGAATTTGTAAGAATGGACGAATGTCTCAGAGGATTGCAGATTGCCACATACCGGTCCAATGCCATGGCCACAAGAAGCCCTGATTCCACCCCAGAGAAAGCATGGATGAGAAACATCTGAGTGAGGCAGGCATGGAAATCGATCTTATGGTAATTGAACCAGAAGACACCCAACATCTTGGGAAAAGTAGTGGTTGACAGGATGAGGTCCGTGATGGCCAACATGGAAAGAAAATAGAACATGGGTTCATGGAGAACAGTCTCAGTTTTGATGATGAAAAGGATGACTATGTTTCCCATGAGGGCAACAACATACATTAAGCAGAAAGGGATCGATATCCAAATGTGCAAGTGTTCCAGACCAGGTATGCCCATCAGGATGAAGGTAGTGGGATTGGTGAATGAGGTGGCATTCAAGTCAGGCATGGTGCTTCTGGCTACATGAAAACTTCCTGTTGCCCTCTTTTTGCCTTTGTCCTTGAAGTAGTGAAATGCACATACACTGTACTAAATCTGCAATGGAATTACTCAGTGTAAAAACACAACCAGGAAAGTTTATTCATATTTCAAGCCTCCACTTGGAAATTAGAAGTACTGCAACCCTTACTGCCATTTACCAATCTCATTAAGGACTAGTTGAAGTATGGACAAACTTCTGTGCTTACAACCCTGCCTTAGGCTCAGAACCTCCAAAATATTCTGCCTGATACTAGATGTTCTGATTCTGCCTGTAATACCGAGTCTGAGCAAAAGTTTTGATAAGTGAAACAGGCTTTTTACATCCTAACAAGGCAAATGGGAAAAGTTATAACATTATCATGATTGAAAGATACCCCTCCAAGGAAATTACAGTTTTGGAGATTTTAAACACGAGGTAAATCTTAAGTAAATATTTGTGAAAGCAACACAGGAAGGAATAATAAGCTTGCTGTAGTTACATCCTCTTTGAATGATAATACTTTTAAAATTTTACCTCCCTAGTGAATTTTTTAACCCAATGAACTTTTAATCACTTAAGTGCATCATAGTTCCAGGATAGCAACAAAACCGTTGGCACTTACATACCACCATTCAAAAATAAATATGGTTCCAGAAAAAAATATATATATTCTGGACATGCACACACACACATACACACACACACACACGCACACACACACACATCTATCTATCTACCTATATCTATCTATATATCTGCATCTTTTTCATCATCAAAACCAAGACCGTTCTTCATGAACCTATGTTCTACTTTCTACCTATAGAGATATAGATATAAAGATATAGATATATATCCCCCCAAAGAAGTAACCATTCATTTTTTTAAAAAAAATCTAATTTATATTGAGATGCTGTCCAGGGCACTATGGGAAAGACTGGTGGGTTTGAAATGAATCAATTAATTGATCATCAAGATTTAAAAATAGTAGTAAGTACTACTTTTTTGTGTCATAATATGTATCAGAAAAAATGCTAAAGGTTATTAAGTGTCCAACTGCTGATTTGTGTAAATTGCGATGAGGTTGCCATTATTAATTTTAATTTATAAAAAAAGATACTTATACATAGGCTAAATATTCATTTAAAACTACACAATAAGCATGTGCCAGAAGGAGAAAAGAGATCCTGCTTTCATACCAAACTCCGCCTTTGTTCCACTATATGAAACTGGCCCTCACATCATGGGCATCAGGGGTGACAAACAGCTTTGTATCTCATAAATATTCATAACCAATAAAAAAAATGAAAACTTATGTCAATGGTTTCACAGCTCTTATCATGACTGATTCTTACACAAGTTGTCAGAAGCATTAAGGACATACCATCTTATTTATTTTTGTTTTATAAGTCAGATTTTATGGATTAATTAACATGGCTTATAGCAAATCCATAACATAATCTTAAATTTTTTCCATTGCAACATCTAAGTTGATGCCAATTTGCTCATTGTGAAACTAGTGGTCATTAGTGTGATTTCTTAATAAAGTATTCTTAAGCACACAGCTTATTCCTGCACATGGTTTCTTTTCCAAAGTAGGTACCAGTGGACTGAGAGATTACAAATTCTAAACGATGGTTGAGGAAAACCCTAACAGCATGATGATGTAACCCTAGCAGTGGCTTTTTCCATGTGCTGGGACTACACTGATTTACCTGTGAAGAATGAGCCTGTCCAGAGAAGTCTCTAACTTATCCTCACAGACAACAGATTGTCTGCCTCTGCTGTATGTTTTCAATTTCCAGTATAGTTGAGTCTCAGGGATCCACAGTAATTCTGGGTATTTGCTTGTTAGATGCAGGAAGCTGCCTCATTCCTCTCGTCATTGCCTGTCTGGCTTCTTACATTCCCTGCATGGAACCCTCACAGCAGGTTTTGTGTCCCCACTTGGGCCAGTCCCAGGGGCTTAAATTCTAGGACAATGGTTTCTTTATCCTCTGGAAAATGTAAGCAATTCATCAGGGAATGAAAGAAATAACAATCACAGTAATATTTTGAACTTTTAGAAAACTAGATGTGGAAAAAGGGAGGGGGAGAGAGGGGGCTAATGAGGAATTGATCAACGGACACAAAGAATGATTGCATATTGTAATGATGAATAAGCTAACTATCCTGATCTAGCCACCACACATTGTACACAACTACTGAAAATCAATGTTGTACCCCACATGTATGTATAATAAATTATCTAAAAAAAACCACCTTAAGAATTAGAAGTCTCTTTTTAAAAAAAATAAACAGCTTTTTATTTAACTGCAGGGCTTTTTTGAATGAATGAAGCAAAAGAAATGTGCAGGTGGCTCCAGGCAGATGTTTCTAGATTATGTTAATCAGGGTCTACCTGCTGCCATTGAAATATCTGCACCAGAGGACAGAATACACTAGGGTAGTGGGATTAAATACAGGCTTCCACTCTATTTTCCTTTAGCTGAACAAATCTCTAAGCCACTGAATGTACTGGGTTGTTAAATAAGAGGGAGATCCAGTCTTGATAACTCAAGGATATCCAGATACTGATTTTTCTATTTCTCCTGATAGTCTAGATTTGTATAAGTGATTTCTCCTCTAGCCATGTGCCTCTTGGATGAGATAATGAGTGTAAAGAAAGTAGAAAAAGTTTAGTCAGGATCTCTTGCCTTACATCTGTTACAAATGGGCAAGATTCAGCACATTCACTAGAAACAAGTTATGAAAGTAGTGTGACAGTGCATGTCTGCCCGTTTCTTGACTCAGCATGACTGTTGTAATTATATAATGATTGGCTCATGGCTGCTATTGTATACTAAGAATATAAAGGTAACTACTCAGAACCACTGGGCAGAGCTCACATCCCAGAATAAAGCATGTCTAGAGGCTGATATCTGTAGAATAAAATATGTCTACCTTGCCTAAAGCTGCCAGAATCTTCTTTCAATTACCTGACTCATGACCTGCATAGGAAGGGGCAGAAGGATTTGCAATCCAACCTGACAATGAGGAATGACCAAAATCTGATCCCTGAAGAATTACTTTCCAAACTCCTCTCCTGTTATGGTCACCAGATTTAGCAAACACAAACACTGGACATTCAGTGAAATTTAAAATAAACAGCTTTCTTCTTAAAACAATATTTTAGCATATGTGTGTGTCATAAATTATTTGTTGTTATTTTTAGTTCTAATTCACTGAGCATCCTATCTTTTTATCTGCAAACTATACTCCCTAGACAAGAGCTCTCAGTTACAGTACTTTTTGGGAAATTGAAGATGGGATAGGGAATAGTGTAGACTGTCCTATTTTTTGCAATGTGTGAGTTGATAAAATAAAAAAAAAGACAACACCCAGGAAAATAGGCCCAAGGTACCACAAGAAACCCAATTAATTACCAGATTATGATTGACTTTTAAAAAATCTGAATATAAAGTCTGCTACTAAACACAAAATACATTTTAGCTTTTGCACAGAGTAAAGAATGAGAGCTTCACGGGACCTGATCTGGTCTGATACTGATGCTGATGTACTTGTATTGTTCTGTGAGGGGGTATCTAAACAATGATTAAGGTATAAAAGTCAGCATAACTGTTATAATAAAAATAAAAATATGCTATTTGTCATATTTTAGTAGATTATAAATGTGTGAATTTTAAAGAATAAAGAAAAATTGGATGTGTACAAATGCTGAAAGGCATAAAAGAAATGGTGAATGATGGAGCAATCAGCTCTCATTCTTGCTTATATTGGCTTTATAAAGTAATTTGACATAACTTCCCTCATAACATCATTCAAATTTTGAAACAAGTGTGAGATTAGCAACACAGAGCTTACTACACTGTGTGTGTCCTGACAGATTTAGTCTGACCACACAGAAGAAGCAGAGAGACTTCCTACCATTGATGCAGGTGTTATTTCAGTCTACTACCTTCTCTTTCTCCCCTTGTGGATTAAAATTGAGATTTGCATTTGACAAAGCAAAGTGGAAAATGGAAATATTTTGGAATTTTACTTGTGAGTTAAAGTTCTTAACTGCATCATTCCTGAGTCTAATCAAATATCTTCGAAGAGGGCACAAAGCTCAAAACTACTGACAGAACGACTTTTCTCAAGCCCAGAAGTTATCCCTCACAGCCTTAAAACAAACATATGTGTATAGAGAAGTCAAGTGTCTACTTTCCTGAGAACATGGCAATTCAGCTACTTCAGTTAATTCCACAGGCTTATGTTTTTGGTTTGGTGTTGAATTATTCAGATTCACATTTGGGATGTAATCAGTTTTTTCCATGCTGTCATATCCAATAGTCCAAGGTCTCAGAAAGAAAAACTCTCCACATGAGCAAAACATACTAGACTATATGGATTTTCTCTCTCTTTTTTTAAAGTTTGATTTGAAGCCTGAAAATAAACAAGATAGCAAAGATGTATGTCATTTTGGCCTTCTCTTACTGTATTTCACCAATTTGATTTTTCTTTTCTTTTTTTTTTTTTTTTTTTTTTTTTTTTTTTTGGTTTTTTTTTTTTTTTTTTTTTTTGT